TCTACTGGACACAGGGGAATCTTCTAGCCACTTCTCAGGGAAGTCACCCCTGCAGCCGCCCCCACTACCAAAACCTCGCCATGCAAACTCAATACAGTGCCTGAGCAGGCAGCTTTGGTCTCAGGGCTATCAATTTGTGCCTTCCATCAGCCGGAAAAACAAACTGAGAAGCAAGAAAGTAGGGCAAGAATTGCCCTCAGTCCCTTTACAGGCTCCCCACTTTCCCCCTACGCCAAAAAAAAAAAAATCCAGCAAAAAACACGGTCCCTGTTTATCCCTCTCCTCCTTGTTCACGCAGCTGGAAGGAGGTGGGTTCCGTGGTGGGGGCTGCTGTGGTTAATTGAAACGCTGCTTTCCGGCATGGGTAGCTCATTAGTCCGGTGGCTTGCTCTGGAATTCTCATCTTGTCGGAAACAGGGATCGTGTGGCTCCTGCAACCTCCGTGCTGAGCGCCGCTCTCGCCCCCACCCCGCCCCTGCGTCCCAGCGGAGAGCTGCTGAGGTGGGGTGCGCGTCGGCGCGCCTGCCTCTGTGTCGGTGTGAGCTGCTTTTGAACTGGCTCACTCAAGGGAAGAACGAATTCTGGATGATAACGTGGTGGTTTCTCTGATTTGCTCCAGAGCTAAAGTTGCAAAATCAATACAGCGGATCTGATTAGATGTCGGAGCCTGTTTCTGTGTTTCTATTTTCTTTTCTTTTCTTTTTCTCCCCTCGCCCTCATGCATATAGTGCTGTATTGTAACAAACTAGCCCAGAAATAGGCTTTGCCAACTGTGCTGCAGTAGTAGAAAGAGAATAAGATGACAAAAAGAACAAGTCAGCTGTCACAAAAAAAAAAGAAGTGTTTGGGCTTTTTATTTTTTTTATTTTGCAAGCAGAAAAAGTTGCTCTCCTGTTATCTTATGAGCTGTAAATGTCTATCATCAGTTCTCTGACAGGCTGGATAGTCTGTTCCCTAGACTTCTTGGCCTGAACTGTAGAGCTTTGGAAGATTAAGAAGTTCAAGAAAGTCCTTGCAGCCTCATAGCTCTGTGGTTAGGATGAAGAAATGTTGTATACTGGTTAGAGCGAGAGATTGGGCTTGTCAGAACTCCTGAGAATCTGGAGCTTGTCACTTGGAGTGACCATTTCTTGTCATCTTTTCCCATATCTTCAAAACAGGAATAAAACTGACCCATCTCTGCAAGGATTTGTGGGGCATAATAAACATAGCACTTTGAAATCTTGAAATAAAAATAGTAATGGAAGGGCAGAATGCTGTTGTTACTAATATCAAGGCTATTGCTAATGTTAGTGCCAAGGCTTTTTTTCAGGACCAGGTACTCGCTCAAAAAAAAAATCCAGCAGAAAAATTAATCTTCTGCAGAGGTGGATTTAAAATCGGGGCTGGGTCACCCTGTGTAGGTGAGACAGCATAAGGCTGTAAAAACACACGCTGGGCTTGAATGCATGCAGCACTCTAGGTTTTGGAATGCAAAGTGTCGTTTGAGCCAATACCTGTGAAAGGAGGAAAGAAAGAAAGTATGTGTCTGTGGATCAGGGAAGAGGATGCTACCTAGATACAAGTTTAGCAAGTACAAAGTGCAAAAAATATATTAGCCATGTATCCTAAAAGTCTGCTCAAAACAGCGTATCCATGAATTGCAAAGATTAGTAGTGACTCTAAACTGGTGAATGTTACGTTTGCTCTGTTAGAACCTCCTATAAGTGTGGTGTAATTTGCGGTCCTAGTACGTTATCCTGTTTGAATGATACTGTGCCAGCCCTGATACTTTGTCAGTCCTGAAGAGCACATCATAAACTACTGGACAGACAACTCAAAGTCCAGCTCAATCCTGCCCTCCTCATCACACTTGATCCTTGATACACCTACTCCAGTATTTTCCCACAGGTAGGTTTATCCTCCCTCACAGCACTCACTATTTGCTGTCTCGGGCCCTCACTCGATCACCTGAATGGGTTC